ACAACACCTTCATACATCAGACCATCACTACCACAGACACACAACACCTTCATACATCAGACCATCACTACCACAGACACACAACACCTTCATACATCTTGCAACAACTGCCAGCTCTGTTAGGATCATGTTCTTTGACTTTTCCAGTGCTTTTAATACAATCCAACCGCACCTTTTAAAAAACGTATGACTTTTAAACTGCACAATACAACTGTTGCTTGGGTTTTGGATTACCTTCTGTCTCGACCACAGTTTGTCAGGCTTGATAAAAAACTGTCTGACACTAACTTAACTAAAACTGGAGCACCACAGGGAACAGTTTTATCCCCCTTTTATTCTCACTTCATACAGCTGACTACAGGCAGAGCCATGTGACCTGTAACATCCAGACGTTCTCACATGACACTGCTCTGGTTGGTCTACTAACCCGAGGCAATGACCTGGCCTGTAAACCGGAGGTTGAATCTTTTGTCAGCTGGTGTGATGATATTTTTTTTAAATTAAAGAGTTGGTTATTGATTTCAGAAGGAGGAGGTCTCCCCAGTGACAAATGCAGGTCAGCAGATAGAAATTGTCCAGTCGTATAAGCGTCAATGACATGACATGCATATTTTTGTGTCTGAGTCCACTATCCTTTTAAAATAATTGTATCAATTTGTGACATATATCATTTCATTCTATAAAACCTATCTAGTATTGACACATTTTCAGTACAATCAAATAATATATATTATTTGATGTTTTGGCATCTCAAACCCTGTAAATGTCAGGCGGTGCACCTGTCCTAGCAGATGAACAGACTAAGAAAACTGTTAAAAAAGGTATTGAAACAATAATAAATTCAAAATAAAATACTATGGCATGCTTTTATTGTTGAAACGATTCAAATAAACCACATTCATACAAATACCAATAGTTTTAAGCTGTTGTGATAATTTAAAAGCTTTTGTCCAGCAATTTGAATGTTCTCAAATATCAGGGTGGCACAGCTGTAAAGATGGGACTTTTATTATGAAATTAAATTGGAAAACAGTAAACAGGATATTGCATCATCAAGAGGGCCTCAACTGACCTTTATAGTAGAGTGAAAACGTTTTTATATCTCTTTTGAATATTGATAAAAACAGCTACTTTCAACTTATAGGTAGAGTGGTTCACTTTCCATGTCAGGGCGGTACAACCAATGTAAAACTATAACAATGTTATTTTATCATAAATGTCTTTATTCTGTTTAAAATGTATATGTATGAAGTTGTTAGCAAGAACAAAAGCTAATGCTAGTGTTCTAGTAGATGCCTGTTTCATTTGAAATCAGTTGCAAATGTCAGGTGGTGCAACCAGTAAGGCAGGTGGTGCAACTGCAGAGAATGTTACTCTGATATTATATTTAGTACATTATTTACAATTTTTTACAAAAGTTTCACAGTGTTAAGTTAACGATATTATACACTTTCAAACTATTTTTCATGATATTAATGAATATTGTTTAACTATTAAGGATGCCACTGTCAAGTAAATCAAAACCAGCAGGACGCAGGGAGCAGACAACAAGTCCTGTATGGAGTGTGTGCAAAATGCTGCTACAATGAGGTAGAAGCTGCAACACGCAGGCGGAAGCGACTGTGATTTTGCCTGTTCCAGTTATGTGCTAAACATGATTACTATGAAATATTTACTTATTTTACTTAAAAAGAGTCTGTTGACTAAAAGCATGTTGTTGTATTTGAAAAAAAAATGCAAATTTTCTGCATATTTGCTGTGATTACTAATATTGTCAGGTGGCACAACTGATAAATGTCATGGTGGTGCGACCAGGTAAAATATTAATTTAAAGCAGTAAATAATAGGTTAAAGTGAATTTTTTTTGCTTAATATGATGTGAAGAACTATTGTATTGAATGTATTCATTTGTATATTTGTATTATTATGTTTAAATGTTTAAATGTTAAATATACTAAATACCTGGCCAAGAGAACGCAATTATGATAAATTATTGTATATATATAAAACACAACCACAAAATACGATGTGTTACACAGTAGACACTCTAAGGGATACTTGTCAAAAATTTCAGTTTGAATAAATATTAGGAAAATATATATTTTTTTATAATTATGTGGTTGTGCCACCTCACATTTTTTAGCCTGTGAAGTTAAAAAATACTGTTAAAAACGATTTAAAATACTATGAATAGTTGGTTCACAACTTAGACTTGTTTCACCACATTTTTCCAGACACAAAAATATGCATTACATCCATTTTGAAGATAATTTTTAAAATTACCTTTTTAGAAGCCTTATTTGTCAATGACCCATAAATATCTCGGGGTCTATCTGGACAGTAAATTAAACTGGAAGACCACTGATGCTGTATTAAAAAGGCTCAGTCCAGACTCTTCTTCCTGAGGAAGCTTAGATCATTTGACATCAGCAGGAAGCTTCTTCAAGTTTTCTATCAGGGGATCTTTGGCTTGTGTTCTTTTTCATGCTGTGCTCTGCTGGGGGGGGGGGGCATCACTGCGGATGATAAAAACAGGATCAATAAGATGATCAGAGAGGCTGGCTCAGTGGTTGGCCTAACCCCAGACTCACTAGAGGTCACTGTAGAAACGAGGACAAGGGCCAAGTTAAAAACAATTGTCTTGTTTAAAGGCCGTCCACTACACGGTGTTTTCAATGGACTCCGAAGCTCATTCAGTGAGAGACTCAAAACGCCTCAGTGTTCTACTGAACCTCTCAGAAGCTCATTGAGTGAGACTCA